ATTTATAAATTTTATAGATTAGATGCTTCAGATTACAAAACACTGTACAATATTTGTATTATTATTTTTTTTTTATTTATTTAGACATATAATAATCTGTCTCGTATACAATAATTATAGTGATATAGTAATTATAGTAATATGTACAATATAAATTTAGTTTATTTGGATAAGAATATTAATTAATAAAAGAACATATTAAGATAATGGCACACAAAAGCAGAAATTATGGGGGGAAATTAACAATATAAATAAAAAATAAAAATAATACATAATAAATAACGAGCTATTATAAAGAAGGCAACGAAAAAAACGTTAAAAAATTTATAATTTTTAAGGGAAAAGCAAACAGCGCCGCCAATGACCCTTGAGGGTTATTTATATTTAAATAATTTATGTATTGTACGGATATTGGATATTCAACACTTAAAAACAATTAATCTATGTATTAACAATTTTTTGTATATCAACTGTTTTTTAATGATTTAGTAAAAATATCTAATGTTGCACATCATAATTTTTTTATATATTGACTATTTTAACTAGGTAATAATTTTTGCACCCTTTAACTGATGGTCCCTTATCTTTGCCATCATCTTTGCGATAAACTTTTATTCCTGATGGAATCACCTTTTATTCCTGATGGAATATTCAACGAAAAGCGGAAATTATAATAATTGATTAAAAATGAAAATAATGGGAGGTGACATTCTTACTGCGGTCACGACATTCTTTGTACACGAAGGATATTAATATTTAAGCTTGAATATTATTAGAAGGATCTAGGAATTTCTGTTTAAGTGTGTACATGGACAAGTTCTTAAACTCAGCGCTAATTCCACCTGAGAAATTCATCAATCGGTTGAATTTAGCACTGACGGATAGCGATTTATGCACTGTTACTGAACGACCTGCTGGATTTCAGTGGGAGTTTACAGAGCACATGAAAAAGAAAAAATAAAGAATATACATACCTACTGAATCATCAAATTTAAAAGCAGAAATAGATATTGACCAGTTGGTCCGTGCATATACGTCGCTTAGTATATTGATAATGGAGTAAATGATAAAATAAAACACTGAAATTTATCATAAGATGAAGGCTCCTGTTATTTTGGTAGTTTATAGGGTCCTAAATTCTTGTTTTTTTTCGTTTGGATAAGTTATATCATGTTGATGTTTTTATACTGTTTGTGTTTTCCGAAAAAAAAAAAAAAATATATCGAATCCTAGATGATGTCGATGCCTAGATGAAAATTTTAAGGAAAAAAGTAATATTTTTTTAAAGTTACAAAAATTCGTATTTGAGGTGGGAAATACAAAAATCAACTTTCTCCTTAAAAAATAATTTACCCACTTTGCTCTTTCACTCGATACAAATTGTTTCAACACTGATCTCATACTCATGGTAGTAATAGAACTCACCTAAAGAATACAAACCAAAAATTTCGATGATTATTTTTTTTTTATTATTATTGTTTTTGAGTCGTTCGAAGGAAGTGGTAACCTTTCAAATAATCCTGGGTGCAATCAACATAAAAATTTATACTTTTTCTTTACATTTTTTAGTATCATTTAGTCGTTAATATGCTCCTGTTTATTTCATATTTATATATATATATATATATATATATATATATATATATATATAATGTGAATGTGTTCTTACCTCTCTATAACTAACTATTGTCCAATTCGCAGAACATTATGTGACTCAATAAAAAAAAAAAAAGGTTTTTCCCTGAAATTTCGGGATGATGAAAATGAGTGCTCAACTATAATATTTTATGAAGAATTAACAAAGATATGGCATACAAAAAACACACACAAAAAAAAAAAACCATCTTTGAGAAACAATAAAAAGAAATAGAAAGTAAAATTAATATAAATAAGAAAAGTTCTGTTTTTTTTTTATTTGATGAAATTTACAACTGGTCTTTATTTTCCTATACAAATACAACTAGTAATATACACAAATTAGAAATCATGACAGAACAGGCTTGAAGAGATACCACTGGTAGAACTCAATAAATAATTCTAGGTAAGGTCACGAGGCCATCTCCTTTCAGACGCCTAGAAATATTATCAGGAATCGAGGAAGAACCAAGAGTGGAAACAAGGGAATTTTGATGGGACTGGAGTTTCATGAATGGATAGATATCTGGCTCGGGCTAAATCAGCGACATATATAAAGAAAGTAAATTAAGAAATAATAATGAGGTTAAATTCGATTCCAAAATCCGATGGGACCGCTGGGTCATCAGCGATAAATAAAAGAACCTATCGATGGTTGCTATTGGTGAGTTTAACAACGGTGTGATGGATTTACGTTTAAACCGATGAGCTCAGCGCTAAGTTTAGAAGCTTGCTATTAATATCCCAACTGTGGTAGAGATTTCGCCAGATCGAACTTAACACAATATTCTATACTTAATTCATTATCAATCCATTTATAATATAGATATGAAAACTATTATGCTATAAATTGTTTGATTGAAACATCTGAGACTTCCAACTCAGAGCTAGTGATATATTTACAACCAATATATCACCCGTTAGATAGTAACGACTTCTCAAGAGATAAGATTACTAACTCAATAAATCACTCACTGTGATAGACTCGTATAAGGTCCCTATTGTATCCCTTGATTCATTTGAATTCTCTGGGTATTTTTCACCATTTGTGCGGCGAGCTGCGTATAGGAGGTTTTAGGTCGTGAGGAAGAAGCCGAGGATAAACATAAAATTTTTACGACGTACTTGAAAGAGTGATTGGGTACTAAACGATCCGAAGGCTGGGTTTCGCTTCGCACACCAGTGTACCGTAAATGCTATCAAGGAGTAGGGAGTGAAAAACATATAGCCCAGATACGATTCTCGAGCTCATGTTTCAGAACTTACATTTTTTTTAATAAACCATAAAATAACTGAACAGTATTAGACTGGACATGGACATAAAAATCAAATTATTGTTAAAAAATAATAATGATACTTTTTAGTTATATATATATATATATATATATATATATATATATATATATATATATATATATATATATATATATATTTATATTTCGTGTCTTCCTTTTATTGATAAAACCTGTTCACCATTTGAAAAATATTTCCGTTTTGGGTTATTTACAAAAATATTCAATAAACGAGTCGATGCGTGAAAGGACCTATTAATATATTCACACACATATATTTTTATTGAGTAATATTACATTTTGTTACAATTAAGGAAATAGCGATAGAGTGGTCCATTCACTCTCAGGCAATGTATAATAGATAAATATAAATTTATTAAAACAACTGCAAAATTATATACTAAAAATAATATATATATATATATATATATATATATAAACAAAAAGAAACTTAAACTAATCAAAATAACAACTTAAATACAGCCATAATTATATACAATATGTACAAGCATTCATTCAGGATAACTCCAAGCCAAGCTTTTTTCACTCACATGTGGATGGAAAAACAGGGCTCTTAGGAGATCCCAGCGCCTCTCTCAGCCACGTCACTGGCATTAATGACCGGTGGAGGCTGAGCAGAGGCACACCATAAAATATTAAACAATAATTAATACCATATTTTTTTTCCGACAGATGAGCAGGTAATGGTAAAAATAAAATTGATTCAATTATTGATTTTGAAGATATATTACCACATATAAAGGTATGATGTATCGAAAAAAAAAAACCCACCGTTGTGACGTTATACATGAAGATACTATTATATATTTAAACCAGGACTTGAATGGAATGATTGGACCTCTGTAGATTTTGTTTAGTCGTTAATAAAATCTAGATAAAGACTTTTAGGGATACGTTGAGCAACAATTTGCTATAGCAGAATTGCATATAATGTAGAATAATCTTTTAAAAGTATTTTTAAAAATAGAATATTTTGCTCAAAAGTTAAAAAAAAACTTTTTAATTGTGTATTATGAATGTTTAATGTATCATTTTTGAAACTTTTTTTTTTCTTTTCAAGTGTGAACAGGCCCGCTATGGATTACGCAAATATAATTTATTTGTTTCTCCATTATCCTTTCGTTTCCTCTATTTTTCTTTAGTTTTTCTCTTAGTGTTTTAAACTCATAAAACCCATTTGCTTTACACTTGAATATGACAATTTGATCACAAAATCGATAATATGGGTGGCCTACAAAAAATATTGGATCCTTTAGCCTTACTTTCATCCCTCCGCCCCCCATTCCAACATGTTAAAATAACAAGGTTATATAACCCAAACGGTTCAATATCTTTGTATTCCACCTTTCTTTCTTCTCTATTTTTTCATCAAATTATTTTATTATCCAATTGGAAAGCAACTGGGTTTCTTGAGGCTTTTCTATACGGCGGACTCCTTGATTGACTTTAAAACCAAATCAATTATTATTAAAAGTTTTATTCGACTTTCTGTGATTATTTTAATGTCCGAATTTATTAGGATTCTTTTTTGTTGGTATTTCGGTTGCGAAAAATGATTTCCATACTTATTTTATAACAAAATCCTTAACTCTGGAATATTACTATAACCCATAGCGACCTATATTGCAGAGGTCAGTACTGATAGACCTATTTGTGAAATATTATGACTGCGATAACATGTTTTCGAAATATTCATATTGCCAATACTCACCAAAAAATAATCCGTTCCCTTAATGCTATCACCCATGAAGTCATCTGGTGAACTAGTTATCTGATTACATACTATTACTTCCCTAATGTAGCTATTCCGTGACATCGTGAACTCCATGCTCGACGCCCTTCCAGTAAATCCTAGCCTCTCTGGTGAGATAGTGGCTACATAAATCCGGGATAGAAAGATCTAATGTCTTCCGAGATAAAGATTAAATATATGTACTGTACTGTTAGCAGCGCCACCCCTGGCTATTGTTAGTATTAGTAGTTCTATTCCTGTGTTATCTCGCTCTTGCTGTGTGTGTGAGTTGTTAATGATGGCCATATAAATTACCGACAATGGCGCAGCAGTTGGGGACGCTGTATTGTTCTGCAGGTCTTGAAGATAATCGAGCTTTATTTGGGACAAAGAAGAGAAATGTCGCCTCTGCTGTTTCAGACACATGCTCATTACATATATTGCTGTAAGTTATATTTCTCACACTCTCTTTCCTCGCAAACCTACAAAATCTTGTAATATTGTTTGATAATATTTTGTATATCCCTGAATACATCCCATTCTTGACAGATAATGCAGGGCATTTTCTTGGTAAAGAACGCATGACATGTCCTTCCACAATTTGGATCTTTTTTTCCTCATATTCCTTAACGATATTCATAAAAAACGTAAATGTTCCTGAAATGTTGATTACTAACATGAATGTCTAAAAAACAACGGTCTCTTTAATTTATAGCACACTTTGTACAACTGTCCAAAATTAATGCCAAATATCCCTGTTCAAAGTAATGGGCATATATGTTTTGTATTCTTTAAACAAAAATATCTGGTTTGTCCACTCACACGACTTTGCTACCTATTTCGGAAAAGTTTTTATATCTTTACATATCTTCATGAAGAAACAAACAAAATTTGAACTAGATTTATTTTCCTGAAAATTGATCAAAGAAAAGATTTGAGTACGATTAATTTGATAAACTAAAGCAATGTAAACCGGCTTAAGGTAGATCAGTGTAAAAATTTCAATACTCTCTAATATTGCTGATCAAAAACTTTTTGCCATAGCTTAGTATTGTCAAACAATAATTTTTGTTAAAAGTAGAGTAAATAGTGAAACTTGTGTGATGCGGGCAACAGATTCTCTTACTTTCACTTAGTCATCTTTTTTCTCTCATTCACCCCTTTCTGACACCAGGATATGAACCCGTAAACTTATATTGGAAATTGAATAGTTCAGTAAAACTTCGTTAATAGTTCTCCAAAATGAACCATTTTTATATAGTTTTGTAGGGAATTTCATTACCTTTCAAAAAAGAAGCAACAAATCGGTTAATTAGTTTCCGAGAAAATCTTGGCACAGATAGACAGACCAATGGTTAAAAATGTCTCTTTCGGACTCGAGGGGTTCTGAAACGTATTGATGCATCGAAAACCGCTTATCGTAAATTTGACCCGATTGCAATATATTCCTTACCTAGTATATGTAGGAAAGTAAAAAATGTCCATTTTTAAACATTAAAGTGGCTTATTCGATTATTTATAACAACGTTGAACGTCTATGTCTCCCTTATTTATTATTATCTTGTTTGCATATATGTTTGATATATAATCCGTAGTATATATTTGACATTTTTAATATACTAATAATACAGACATGATTTGCTAGACAAGGAGGATTCCATTAGCGACACAAGACCTGGGATTCCTGGGACAACATAGCGAAAGCCCCACCTTGCTAGAAGCCAGCTAAGGCAGTTATGCTTTGAGGAGCCCGTTGCTCTTTGTCCTTTGCATGTAATTATCGCAGGACACTTTAGAGCGGTGTCAAATCGGGTTAGCTCCCCCCCACTTCCCTCCTCACCTCCCCCCCACACACACCTCCCTCACAAACCCCTATCTCCTTTATGGCTGCATATACTGCCTAATGGTTTCAGGTCTCTCCCACTTAACACGGGCTAGGCACTTCGCCTATACCGCATGAGTCATGTAAGCATATTTTATGCTTTCATTATTAACTAGGATTAATTTAAATTTAAACAACTCTAATAAAAAAAATAATTAATTTTATTAAAAGGAAAATAGCTTTTGTAATAGAGTATAATGAAGTTTTCCCGACGACAATGGCCCTTTGGGTTTAAGCAAAAATACATATTACAAAATTGTATTATTATTCTATGAAAAAGTATCCCACTTATCCCTGTTTGAACAAATCCGATTCCTTGGACTCCACTTAGACGTCTAACTTGGAATTTTCATACCAGACTGAAACCTCTCGATGTTTCCGACTACTCCCGCACTTACTAGACAAACGCTCTAAGCTTCCAGTTAATTACAAAAGACTTATATACATGACTACAATGAGACCTATTTGGACTTACGGAGTTGAGCTTTGGGGCTCCACTAAGCCATCGAATTCCACTCGTATCCAATCCTTACAATCCAAAATCCTTCGGAAAATCCTCAATACTCCTTACTTTGTCACCAATAAAATAATCCATAATGACCTTTATGTTCATTATGATTCTGACCTGGCCCAATCCAGATAGATACCTATCCTTCCAACAAACTTCACAACCATCCAAATCCTCTCGTTTCTAACCTTGCTTCCTCTTCGATCTCTGACAACCCTCCGAGCCGTCTGAAAAGAAGATGGCCTCCAGATCTCCTTTTGTAAATACAAGTGGTTTTATGTTATTATATTCTTGTGTTCACATTTACTGAATGTATTTTTGTTTGTAATACAGTTGTAAATATTATAAATAAAATTTAAAAATTCTCAGAATCACATATCGTTTATTTGTAGAATTTGTATTAATATATGGTCTGAGAATATACAATATTGGGGAAATGAGATGGATCAACTTTTAAGTAAACTCAGTAACCCGGTTTTGAGTTTAGCTGTATCGAATAATTTATTTATTCTAACTCAGATCATTTGGCATTTTAAATAGCATCCATTCTTATTTATATATTTTATTATTTATAATTTTTGGTTGAAATATCGGGGCGACATTCCCCTCTTCCTTGAATCATTTGAAATGCCAAATGATCTGAGTAATAATTAATATAACATCCTGACAAATTTTAATATACATTTATTTATTCTTTTATATTAGCAGTAGATGGACTCAATGGTCGGAAGATCCTCTCGGTGCACACTCAGTCTTTATCATGTGGGTATCTGGCCCTTCATTATGCGAGGACTACTCACTGATCTAACTAAATTAAATGTTGATAGAATATAACTGTTATTTTATAATAAAAAAATACCTCTTATTTATTGACTGGAAGTTGTTTTTCGCAACCGTGTTTGTAAAATAGTTGGTCATATTAATTAGGCAGTTTCGTTTAAGATTAATTCAGGCGACTGTAAAAAACAATTATTCATTTAAAAAATAATATTGAACTGTATCAATATCATTTTTTTAATGTACTTTTTTTCTACGACTTAAATTATTTTATTTTATACATTTTTATAACTATTTTTCTTGCGGGTTTTTTATTTTATATATATATATATATATATATATATATATATATATTTTTTTTTTTTTTTTTTTTTTAATCTGAACTCATAATGTAGTTCAAAACAACGAAATCCTTTTTCCAACTTATTTTTTCACTATAATTTGTATTAATCTTTGACTATCATCAACATTTATTATAACTATTATATTTAATCTCACATACACTTTAGTAATGATGACATTTATAAATTCATAAATGCTTATTAAGCTTTAAGTATTATTCAAATTTATGAGTAAATATTAAGGATAAGAGGAACATTAAATAAAAATTATGTGAAAAATGGCTATTAAGATTACACACACCGGTGACTGCTTTGTATAGGAAGTCATATTTTAAGATGGTTGTTATATGGCTCATAAAAAATCAATTGGGCAGAAAAAAAGTGTGAACAAGGAGCTTATGTATTATGAATATAATTTTTTAGAAAAAGAAAGACAACAAAAAGAATCCTATACCGCTACAACTCATGAAGGAAGGATCTTGGATCCAAAATTTTTTAATCCGTGATCATGCTCAATCGCAAGGCTTTTCCCCAAGAGAGTCTCCCAACTTAGTTCAATCCACTACTGATTTAAAAAGTGATTTAATTTATTACCTTTCACAGCTTGCCTATAATCCGAACCTGGTAATACACGAACAGAGTGCCTTATTCACTGAGCTATCCTACCAAAACTCTTCCTTTTATGTATAAATGACAAATATCAATTGTCAAAATCAAGTCAGCAATATATAGGGTATTAAGGTATGTGTTTCACATTTTATTTACCACGTAAGCTTACGTTCACAATGAATATGGTATTTATATCAAAACTGTTGATTAATGTTTACTATCTAAGCTAAAACCGCCAGTTTTCGCCACCTTTAAGGAAAGTTGAAAATTTTATTGTCCAATATTTAATCGTGTATTTGGTTAAATATTTTCGATTTTGTTGAGTCAGTAAATATCTCTGGTTTCACAATAATATTTTATAATGCGAAAGATAGTATTTGATATATTTTTTATATTAAAACGGAAAGTTATATAAAAATCTATATGCGCCAGTTTTCGAGACCATTTTTCAAGTTTTCGGCATCTCTTTCCAATTTTAAGAATCCTTAAGTTTCCGTTATCCTTCAAAATAAAAGAATTTCAATGACGTTTTGAAGAAAATTTTACTTTTTATATAGGGATGGGTACACAAAGACAAATAATTAAATATCTTGAAACTAAATCTACTCCGACAGAGGTAAAATGTACGGTGTTACATCAATCTTTAGTTTCTTTCTAAATTTCCTAAAAATTCCATAAAAATAGTTCAAAGGCTATTCATTCACAATATCTTTAATATTTAAATAGCACTCTTGCTCAATCTCCACTAGGTTTAGCCCCAGTGACGCGGTTGAGAGAGAAGTGCAGTGATCTTCTGGAGTCATGCTTTTCCCTCCACAGTTGAAGGGACAAGTCTGGTTTGCAGTTCTCTCGCCAGATTGTAAACATAGGTATATATGTGTTCTTTTTATTTATTTATTTTTGGGTTATTTTATTCTTATTTATTGTATATATACTATTTTTCTGTATAATTTATTTTATTTACTGTATGTAGAGTGTGAATGTGATCTTTGAACACTATTATATATGTCCTTGAGACAGATTGTAATATTTTTTAATAAATAAGTTAAAAAAAAATATATTTAAATATTTTTTATGTAATATCGGAGTATAAAGGACAAAATCTAAATATAATTTTAATCCAACGTGGTTCAGCTATACAATGAATTTTATTATTTATGTTCTGAGATAACTTATGTAAAATGTACATAATATATAATAATATACATAAAAAGCAAATTCTGTTTGCTTGAATAAAATTTGAAAAGCATTTCTTTTAAACAAATGTTAACAAAAGTTCTCCCCAGACAGGTTATACTGTAAAGGAGTTGAAGGATAAGAGTTCTTAAACTTTCTTTCCGTTATTGAAAAAGCTGCTTCGACTTTCTTAAGACTTGTCGTTCAAAAGTTTTCGGGAGAAAAAAAAATTATCAAGAACTTGCTACTGATTTATTCTTATTATAAACTTTGAATAGACATGTGTGAATATACTTCTAAAGATCAATTTGTTGCAATCCGCATAAACTATTATTTGACAAAATTTTAGAATAAATTCTCTCTCACGTTGTATTTTGTATGCTACTATAAGGCATTGCAAATTGCACTTTAAATGATAAAAAATCATAAAAAAACAAAAAAAAAATCGTTAGCTTTCATTTTTATTAATCGCTAGTGTATTATATCGATTTAATCCGAAATCCTCAGTTTAGAAGTATAACTCAGGTTCAGTCAATACGTCTATGTTGACTTCAAAGCGAGTTTCGTTCTTTCTTCCAACGAGTTTCCAAAAAACTATTCCAATTGGATATCATTAATTCCCGAAATTACCAAATCTCCCTATCGAATCAGAAAAACCTCGGAACACCGAAAGGATCCAAACGGTTTTATTAAATTTTTGTTTTTTCTCGATCGTTTTTCCATGGCATTTGTTACGTTCTAAGTCTGATATATTGAATTTTCGAAAAGGTCAGATTATTTTTAAAACTAGACTCTCTAATAATATTTTGCGGTAGTTATTATTAGGTTACTCATTTTTATGTTGAATTATATTTTTTTTCTTCAAATATTACAGGATTATTTATAGTGTTGCCCAAATGCGAGACCGAAACGAGTCTTGGTCTTGCAAACTCAGTCTTGGTCTTGCGCGAGACCCTCGTAACAGTCTTGCAGTTACCTATTAGCTTATTACTAGAGAGATATTACTGTAATTCTATAGATATGGGAAACCTAACTAAGTCTGAATGGAAAATTAGAAGAGTTAAATGCAAAAGTATATTGGTTTCACCAATTCTTTACATATAGTAACTGAAATTGTCAAGTATTTGTTACTATTTTGCCTCAATTTTTATTCAAAAAATCAATTTTTTTTTACCAGGCTTGGTCTTGGTCTTGACACAGATAGGCGATGTTGGTCTTGGTCTTGTAAAGTGCAAGAGCAAGACCGATTTTGGACAACACTAATTATTTATAATTTGAATAATTTTTCGTTGTAATTGATGTTGACTCTATGGCAGAACTTCTGTCAGATTCTAGATCAATATGCAATAAGTTGTCAGGAAGTCATAGAATAACTGCTGTTGAAGAAGAGAAGAGAGATGGTACTCAATGGATCCCCGGACACTGTTGACGGCGTGAAAATGAAATGTTGGATGGCTTAGCGAAGGAGGGAGCTAGAAAAGTCCAGATGGAGAACAATTTAACGTCCAATAAAGCGCAAGGAAAGAGATCGAGAAACGTCGAAAAAATCGTGTTACACGAGGAAGTGGAATATCATCCAATTCATTAACCACGAAGAGTCGTAGTGGCAGAATTCAGAATAACCACCGGCCATAATTATTTAAATAAACATTTGTTTCAAATAATCGTAGCGAAATCCAATAATCGTGATCTCTGCAACAACGGGTTCGCCATGGATATGCTACGCCTTGAATCATGTCTTGGTTTGTCAGATATACGAACTCCAAATCCCTCAAAATCTGACGTCTACTGGACTGCTAGAAGACTCATGGTGGAAGCCGAAAGTCAAGAGGCATAAAGAAAAAAATAAATAAAATCTCACCTGTTTTATTATAAATTGAAATCAGTTAGTGAGCTTAAGAACTAGTTTAGTTACATTTCCGTAAGTGTTCCAGGAGGTTATTTCCTAAGCTTGAGAGAGTCATGGAATGAGATCTGTCAATCAGCAACTTTCAACTTTGAAGTTCTCGACTCCTATTGGGTATTATGGACAGGAAAATTTTCAGACGCTTTAGGTGTCATGTTCAAACACTGTTGAATAATTGAATAATAATTGAATGAGAAATGCTTTATTAAATATACATAAATTATAAATTTCAAAGTATACAGAAGATGTATACGCCATGATTATTCGTCTGCCGGATGACACTGATAATTATTATTATAGCTCTACTGATCTGCAAGAACCCGGGCCTCCTCCATTACAGCCAGCTAATTCCTTCCATCTTCGAACCCCCAGCCGCTTCAGATCGTCCTCCACATCTTCCAGCCATCTGATCCTAAGGCGGACATTGTTTCCACATAACCTAAACATCCTGGTTACCCCCACCTTGCTCTTTTTGTCAAATGCTACAACATCAGGTTCTTCATAAAGTTCCACTGAAAATTATGTATTTATAAATGGTATAAAGGAATAAACGGTATTAAGTAACTGAGAAAATGAACCATTGGTGTGTCACTCACACGACTTTCCTACCTATTTCAGAAAAATTTTTATATCTTTACATAAGTTCATGAGAAAAAAAAAAAAAAAATTGAACTAGATTTATTTTCCTGAAAATTGTTTGAAGAAAATATCTGAGTACGATTTATTTGATAAATTAAAGCAATGTAAACCGGCTTAAGGTAAAAATTTCAATACTCTCTAATATTGCTGGTCAACAATTTTTTGCCATAGCTTAGTATTGTCAAACAATAATTTCTGTTAAAAGTAGAGGACATGGTGAAGCTTGTGTGATGCGGGCAACAGATTTCCTTACTTTCACTTAATCATTTTTTTTCTCTCATTCACCCCTTTCTGACACCTGTATATGGATCCGTAATTGGAAATTGAGTATCTGTAACTTCGTTATTAGTTGTCCAAAAT